TCTAATACACCTTCCACATCGATTCCTCCAGAGGGGGCTTCTAATACGGAGGGGCTTCTAATACGGGGGAGGCTTCTATTATGGGGGGGGGGGGTTATCATTTCGTTTTCAAGATTTTTATAGTATGAATGAGCTATAATAGATTTACTATTTTTACTATCAATTGAAAATAATGTTCTTTGTCCAAATTTTCCTAAAAATTTTTCTGATTGTAAAGGTTCTATATTTAACGTACAGGAGCTAACACCCCACCAAACAAACTTTTCACTATTAATATATTTATCACTTTGATCAACACCTTTAATCCCACGATACACTGTTTGTGTTGCTGATGGTAATTTTTCTAATGCGGATAAAAATAGTTTTAAGAATAAGAACCATGGTTTCAAATTCTCGCGATTTTCGGCTCGTAATCGTTTATTTAATATTTCATATAGACTTGGTCCAGGATCAAATTCCATCGTATATAAATGTATTGCACCAGATTCATCTTGTGACAAGCCTTCAGCTGGATTTTTACAGTTGTGTTTGGCAACCAAAACATAATCCTTAAGACCATTGAATAAATGAGCAATTGGTTGAACAGCTTCTTTTAATGATACCGATGGTTGATCCTGATGACCACTGATTGGTGTAAGTAATTTCTCTACAGGTTCATCACGAACATCTGTATAACGAGAGTTTGTTGAATCTATTGCATAGGCCATTGTGCACTGTAGAAATTTGGAATAACTAAAGAGAACGGTATAATCCTTTAAGAGAAGCAAACGTTGCTGGAGAAGAAGGTGGTTTTATATTTTAAATCCATAGCATACGTACTTCTATAATCACAGAAAATTGTTGCTTTCAAAAAAGGTAGAATAAAAAACAAAGAAAGCTTTTAGTATTATTATTTAAATACGTTTTTATTTTGTGACTTTGTATGAGATAAAATTGCCTCACCTCGTGAGCGTATTTAATCCTCTTTATTATTTATTGACACAGTGATATAAAATCGCTCGTTTTAGTTGTTTTGCGACCAAGTGAGGTGCATAAGTGATAAACAAATATGACTTTTTTGTTTCGTTTTTCCTTTTTTACTCATTCTTTTCACTATGATGTATAAGCAACATATCTGCTGAAACAACGAGCAGAAACTAAAAGCATGAACTAAAACTTTTCAAATGTTGAAATCAAATTTTGTAGTGGAAAGATTGACATGTCTACACAAAACATAAAAAGTCGTCGTCCGTCTACTATGGAACGGAGAGAGAATTTTTAAAATGACTTCAAATGTTAGAACGATTTCTTATCCATTTTCTTCATCCCCTTTTCATTTATATTACATATTTATATTCTTGTACATAAGAACAGCTAAAACAGCTCAAAATTCGCTTTATTCTATTTTAAAGAAAGAGTGTTGAGAGCAGAAGCACTGTATCTAACGTTAGTTAACGGCAAGAACACAGTACAGAACAAGTAGAGTTTTCGACTGTTTTACGTCTATTTTTCCTTAACGAATGAAATTCATTTTTGTTAGGAGATCTACACATGAAATTTTCACGACAACTAGAAGTGTCTGTAGAAACCTTTTTCCGTGAATCATGAAAATCACTCCTTAGGCAGAAAACGATATAGATTCTGAAAGCAGACACTCCTGCCTGTTCGAGCATGTGGTCGATACTATTGACAGAAACCAACTTTTCTAACAGGTGGAGGGTGTCTTAACAAAGCTTTATGCATAATTTTATGTCGGGAACCTGAGTAGGTAAGCATCGATCCAAACGGTTAAGAATAAGTGCAACAAACTTTTATATCTGAGAATAAGAAATAGGCTCCAAATCTGAAAATGAGAAGACTAACACATACTTCTTATCAATAAGAGTAAAATATTTCTATTTAAGAATCGCTGAACGAGAATCACGACTTGGGTCGCTCAACGACTGTTACATATTTTGGTCAAAATTTGTAGAGTAAAAAGATACAGCATATTTAGAAATAATCTGAAAGTTTCGATTCAAACGGATGTGTGTTTCACCAGATATTGTTTTTTTAAAACTGGGTGTCGCTCGCAATTCTGCACTTTTTTATGGTAACATTTATCAGTAAAATTCTCGTGTAGCCGAGATTTTTAGTCTCGGATAAATACTCCAAAAGGAAATATGTATATCAACTACGGCCTTTCTAGCTTTTTATTCATTTCGTTATGTTCGTATTCGCTTTACTTAAATATAAACGTAATGCTAACTCATAAGCGTTCGTTCTAATTTTCTGATCTTTGGTCACATTTTGAAATATCGCTATCTCATTGAAGAACAAACACATTTCGTCAGCTTTGCGCTATTGTTTAGTCAAAAGATCGTATTATACGATCATAAAAAAGATTTTTTTTGCACTTTTAGCTTAAACTATTTTAAGTCGCATGCAATGAGTGGTTCTCTGTTCTCAAACACACATTTTTATTCCTGCATGTTTAATGTAACAAAAAGCGAACAATTGCACAGCGAATTTACGTAAACATGGCTTTTCTAAATTATTAATTGATAAACTTGTTCATTTTGATTATGAAACTAAACTAGCAGTTCTGAAAATTCCACCACCATCACTACATCAACAAAAAGGTATTAGCACAGCTTCGTTAATGGGTAGAAATCGAATCAGAAGCCTTTGGTATAACATACTTAAGTTTTTCTTACAGTTATATTTTCCATAAAAAGAGATGAGCAGCTTACAAGCTTCGCTCTTAAAAACTGTGTATGTGTGTTTCTGGTATAAAGTCAAAGGAAAATAAAATAAAAGTACACCAACTGATGCTAAATGAATAAAAACAGAAAAAGATTACAACCGACTTAGTAGACATAGTAGAGAAAAACTAGGTAGTAAAGCTCATGTTTTCGTTCTCTAACCTTCGCATTTCTTACTTTGTTTTTTTCAGATCAACCATACTGCATCACACAGACTATCAGAACTCCCGAATGCCAAGTAGAAGAACTGCAGCAATCATATTACTGACTTTTTTGCACGATATTTTACCCAGTTTTTTCTTTAGGGCATGATGGAGTGTTCCAGATACAACTACGTTGAACCACAAGCTGAATTGTTTGCTCTCAGCATTCTGGCTTCATCTGCCAATTTTGAATCTGTTTCCCCGGTATTATAATGCTGGTCAATACGATACATAACTAATCTTTTAAATGCCTCTCTCTTCTCCGTTAATTTTTGGGAAAATAGATAGCTTTTCATGGAAGTGTTTTAATTGTTCTTTTATATTTATTACAATGCCTTAACAGCTCTTGTGCTTAATAATCTTTCCTGTTTTATTTTTATTGTTACGTTTCACGTCTTCATCAGACAAGAGTAGAATAAATGTGAAGAATAGGTAATTAATTACACTATATCTATGTAATAGTGCTGACGAAGAACAAGACGGATATAAAATGCTAAAGAGACAACAACCAATTATCGCTTTATTCTTCGCCAGCACTATTATCCCCATTCTGTATCTTCATAAGAGAGGAACTGTTGAATTTTTGTTGTTTTTTGTATATCATTGTTTTTACAAATTTCAATGTTAAATCTAATATTGGATACCAAGTTTGATTTAGTTCTATATGACGATTAATTGATTTATTGATTCTTGAATAGATTGCTTCTTTTATCTTTCTTTTCCTCGTATGTTTTTCATTATCTATTATAAATGCGTTGGGTTAAATTTGCATCGATGATTGTTTTTTATGTGATGTTGTACCATTTCTGATTCTAAATCGTTTTTCTTAATTATTTTTTGATGTTGCTTTCTACTTTGTCGCATACCCACTTTTGTCTCACCATTATAGATAGCTCCACATAAGTGCTGACTAATAAGAAGAAAGCGATAATTAGTTGTTGTCTCTTTAGCACTTTATCTCCGTCTTGTTCTTCGTCAGCACTATTACATAGATATAGTCTAATTAATTACCTATCCTTCACATTTATTCTACTTTTGTCGGATGAAGGCGTCTCTGACGTTGAAACGTAATAATAAAAATAAAACAAGAAAGAGTATTCAAAAATAACCCAAATTTACCATGACCTTTCTTTCTCGACATCAACCCAAAGGACCCTGACGGTTTTCAAAATTATGTTGAAGCAGAAAGCTATATATCAGGTTTTGTAGAGCTTCTCGCGACGGATCTATATCTGTATTGGGTTTGGGTTAATACCTTCTGATTACCGAGATATGGGTGTCACCAT